GGGGGGCAGGAGTCGAGTGAAATACATGTTTGAGGGAAATAGTAGTCGGATTCTACGGGGTAAGAGGAAGACTTTGATAGAACCCAGGGAATGACTACTTAACAATATGACAGAACCTGGTCAACATTCCCAGCACAAGGGGGAAGGGGGTTATAACGACAGTGTGGAGTGTGAAGGGTTTTCATGAATGCCGCTCGAAGGAGCATACCACATTACATTAAAAATAAGCACGGTAAAAATTGTGACAGGGAAAGCATGATAGGAGGATATAGGAAATGTGAATATCCCAAGACAGAAGAGGAGATACCACAATTGTTTAGAACACACGTTTGGTCATAGGATGGGCTTCACTTGTCTCTTTGACGAGTTGTAATATAGTGCTACGAATGGCGAGACTCACTGACGATGCCGGAAACGTCTGAGAATGTACCGCGTCCACGGTCCTACTCTGGAAATGATGATGCATACAATGGACTCCGGACTAGGTGCTTTCGACTAAGTCATCCTACCAATATGACCGAGTTGCGAAAACAAGGTCAAACAACTTCCTTGTTTTTGTTTTTTTCTTCAAACGCAGGTACATTCTAACTTGGAAAGCTATAAGTGCTAAGTAGGATCATAAAGAATTTCGAATGGTAGATCGATCACAAAATAGAGATGGTTTCGATATGTTTTAGGATAGAGTATTTAATCCGCACAAAATAACTGATATGACATAAATAAAGCATTAATAGATGACAAACAAGGCCCTTAGGACGTGGTTGGAATTAATAATAACTCAAATCTGAGTGACATGAATTAAATATACCTATGCCCCACAGGCCTGAAGGAAATGTTTGTTATCGGGAAGGGGTAACTAACGATTAGTCATAATCCCGAATTTCGCTTCTTATTTGCGCCTAAATGATTTAACTTATAAATCTACTCAATAAATGGAATAAGCCACAAAGCACGAAATTGGCTTTATTGTCTTAAACTAAAGATTATGAAAGTGCAGAACCCAAGGCTGAAGTAAGACACTGAATGTAGTAACGAAAGAAATTGTAGCAATTAAAACGTGACGCGTTTTAAAAGTAGCAAAAAAGACTATGTTGTTGATGGAGCTTGGAATCATAAAACTATTAGGGAAAATGGTAATAGTACATACAACTAAATATCTAAGTTGCCGGCAAATTCTTCCAAGCATGTACAGCGAAATAGTAGTAGTAGCCTATTGGAAGCAAAATTATAAAAATATTAATAAGGGTTTTTTGGAGACGAAGTGAAATCTTAGATAAAGTTTGTCTACAAATAATAATTTTGATTATAAATATGGAGAGTTTAAAATGTAAATCATAAGGAAAGTTATAAAATGCATTTTGATATGTAGAGCCTAAGGCAGCTATCTAGCTATAAATTCAGGCATGATATACTTATATACAATAAACAAAGGCAAGAACATGGAACATATTCCTCGTTACAAATAAGATTAGTAAGTATAGGGATATTGCACACAATGGAACTAAACGTAAGGGCCAACAGATAATTATGTAGCTAGGTAAGGCTTACTAGGATGTGTATAAGAAAAGACGAGCTGTTTGGTATTATAAATCGGATAATCGAGGACATAAAAGTGCTTCGTCATTTAAATAAGGAGAAGTCATATTAAGTGGCCTCTTTAGTTGAATGCCCAGGTTAAGGATAGCCCGATTAAAATGATGTCAAAGCACAGGCTTTATCTGCTCAGGTTGAGGAGATTAGTCAAGGATGAAGCGATAGTAAGCGAGTCCTATAAGGCTGATTATCTGCCAGGCAGCCAAACACCAGAACACCGCAAATCCAAGAACCCCCCGACAGACGAAGACACCACGAGCAGATAACTCCCCAACGACTCCGGTGAACGTCTGCCGTATTGCAGCGAGGCCATCTAGCCAAGTGAAAAGAGTATCCAGGAGTGCAGTTGAGGTGTCTGCTGATCTCGTTTGTTCGCCGAGTTTTTGAAGAAGTGAGTCGGCAACGCCTGGAGCAGGCGGGTCAGTTGATTTGATTAATTCGGTTGGATCAGAGGAAAAACGAGAACCGAGAATTGTGGAGAGGCTAAAGGGTTCCATTGAGGGGCTGCCTATAGTGCTTTGGGATGCCTGGATGGCATCTGGGGCCACGGACAGCCAGGTGAGGCCAGAGAGGCTTTTGTACAGGCACACGAGAAAGATAAGTAGGACGCAGGGTGTCAAATACTGCAAGGCAACCAGATTGAGGCAGTAAACAACACTGGCAACAAGACGCTTGATTTCACGATTCGAGACACGACCTGGCTCCCTAGAGAAGCGGTCCAGTTTGTTTTGAGCCAGATTCAAGTAGGCCTGATAAAAAAATTAGTGTAAAATTATACGTGGTAAAATTTTGTGTAAGTCATTTCAAATTGAAGAAGGTTGAATTAAATGTTATATATGTTTTCTACTATTGACACATTATGTGTAGCAATGCTTCACTCAAAATATAAGTTGATATGAATTTAATGTCAGTTTGTGAAAAGGATGAAATAATTTATTTGGAGAATGAAGATTAAAGGTGAAAATAATTATTCTGATAAAGAATTCGAGTAATAACACAAATTGTCTGCAATTTGTAAGAAAGTATGATGATTTTTTTAAGAATGCATTCTCCAAGTAAATATACTATTAAAAAATGTGCCTAGGACACAACATCATTTATAGGCAATCCAATAATCAGTGGCCTGTCTGTCAAAGCAACCAGGATTAGAGGGACACTAAATATGCCATGATGTAACCTTTGTTAATAATCTAGCGAAGTCCATAACCTCAAATTCTAGCAGAATATCATTGAGTAAGTTCTGCAAAAAAAGTATGACTATACCCATGAGTGTGAGGAGTAGCCAAATTTTTTGTTTCGTAGTTTCGAAGAGGCTGGGCCTCGAATAATCCCTAGTGCTGCATCCCGTTATCTCAACCCCACTTGATATGTACCTTTTACCCTTTCACACAAGGTTGTGCTATCGTCTCCTCCAATGTCGCCTAAAGTGTCACTACAAGTGGGCTTAGTGAAGCATAATCATCTAAACTAACGGTTCCAGGTACCGTTTGCAGAACTAATGGCCTACAAGGTCAAGCCGACACTATAAAGGTAAAGAACACTGCGACCAAATAGGTCACTCCATCTTGGTCTTTATATCTACGATCTAATTACGATGATAAGAATGTCAGTCAATGCATTGATTACAGCAGATCAAAGAAAACAATTTTAAGTCGATCTTGTCATTTGACCTTTCTTAACTGTTGTAAACGTTATGGCATCCCTCTTCGTTTTTGAAATTTGATGAGCAAATATCATTCAAATAAGTTCATTATTATATCATATCAGGCATCTATGCAAAACTTAAAGGAGACACCTGTAAGAAGCTACCTGAAGAATCAAAATAGCAGTAAATGGAGATCATATCAACAACCTTGGTGCTTCAAGAAGCCAAGAATAGGAACAATATAATCAAGATACATAAAGAAATTAAGAAGAAACGAACAAATAGTTCACAAGCTGACAAATGAGGTCCAACAGTGGTGATGGACAAAAAGGCATATACAGAGAAAATGGAAAATATTCTCGAGGACACAACAAATTATCAAGCAAAGGTATGAAGACCAATATAGTGTGGCCTTTTGTGTGGTCGCAGTCTCCTTTAGTTGTATAGAAGTTGTTTGATCTTGTTTTCGCACCTCGGTCATATTGGTAGTAAGGCTTAGAGGAACGAACCTAGTCCGGAGCCCATTGTATGCATTATCATTTCCAGAGTAGGGCCGTGGT